CCCAGCATTGAGGCTAAGGGGGAAAGATGGATGGAGCGATGACATATCAGACAGCCAAGGAAAACAAACAAACAAAAAGTCACAGGATCTGGAACTAAGTTTAGAACAATCAATGCAATTTACACAATGGCAGGGGTATAACCAGGGCTGGATTTTGTTCTCTCTAGTTTCTCTTCTCGTCCTTCTGTATGATAATTCTGCTAAATCATCACTTGTAATCCTTGCACAAAACCAGGTGAATTTAAGAAGATCACTTAAAGAGTTAAATTCTTCTTAAATTAAAAAGAGTTGGCAGGGCCCTGTGGCTCATGCCTGTAATCCCAGCATTTTGGGAGGCTGAGGCAGGTGGATCATGAGGTCAGGAGTTCAAGGCCTGCCTGGCCAAGATGGTGAAACCCCTTCTCTACTAAAAATACAAAATTAGGCAGGCGTGGTAGCAGGCACCTGTAATTCCAGCTACTTGGGGGGCTGAGGCGGGAGAATTGTTTGAACCCAGGAGATGGAGGTTGCAGTGAGCCAAGATCATGCCACTGCACTCCAGCCTGGGTGAGAGTGAGACTCCGTCTCCAAAAAAAAAAAAAAAGAGTTGGCCGGGCACAGTGGCTCACGCCTGTAATCCCAGCACTTTGGGAGGCCGAGGCAGACGGATCACAAGGTCAGGAGATAGAGACCATCTGGCTAACATGGTGAAATCCCATCTCTACCAAAAACACACACGAAAAAATTAGCCAGGCATTGTGGCAGGTGCCTGTAGTCCCAGCTACTCGACAGGAGAATAGGCGGAGGTTGCAGTGAGTCGAGATCGCACCACTGCACTCCAGCCTTGGCCACAGATCGAGACTCCGTCTCAAAAAAAAAAGAGTTAAAGAAAGTTAGTCAAAGGCCATTATAATAAGATATATGAGACTTCAACAAAACTTGCATAAGAATATTTAGCATCTGCTTTGTAAGTATAAATAAAACAAAGTATAACCAGGTATAGTGGCTTGCAACTGTAATCCCAGCTACATGGTAGGTTGAGGTGGGAGGATCGCTTTAGCCCAAGAGTTCAAGACCAGTCTGGGCAGCAGAGTGAGACCTCATATCTAAATATATAAATATATATATTTTAAATTAGCCAGGCATAGTGGAGTATACCTGTACTCTCAGCTACTTGGGAGGATGAGGCGAGGGGATTCCATGAGCCCAGGAATTAGAGGCTGTGGTGAGCTATGCTTGTGCCACTGTACTGCAGCCTGGGTGACTTTAAAAAATTAGCCAGGCACAATGACATGTGTCTATAGTACTAGTTACTTAAGAGGCTGAGGTGGGAGGACCGCTTGAGCCAAGGAGTTGGAGGTTGCAGTGATCTATGATCATGCCACCGCACTCTGGCCTGGGCAACAGAGCAAGACACTGTCTCAAAAAAAGAAGAAAGAAAGAACAAAAGGACTAAATCTCCTGAATGTAAAGCATAGAAATCCTTTAGGTTCATTACACATTCTCATACGATCAAAATTCTAACTATAACTCCACTCACACCCTTCAGTGACTCAGAGAAAAATCATCTTAAAAAGCTAGAAAAATCTGGCCAGGTGCAGTGGCAACATAGGGAGACTCCATCTCTACGAAAAAAAAAAAAATTAGCCGAGTGTGGTGGCATGCTACTAGGGAGGCTGAGGCAGGAGGACTGCTTGGGCCCAGGAGGTTGAGGCTGCCGTGAGCCATGATTGTGCCACTGCACTCCAGCCTGGGCAACAAAACAAGACTTTGTGTCAAAAACAAGAAAAAAAGTTGGAAAAATCTGAAACTATCAGAATGAGTCTTGATAAGAATAAACAGACTATAGAGGTAGGGAAAAAATGGACTAAATCTCAAGATTTTTGCAATGGCATCATAGGCAGGGTGATATGTTAGCAAGATAGTTACCAGGCTCCCTTGCTATTTGATACTCCCCCAGGGCAGCAAATTCAAGTTCAGAGCTCAAAGTTTGACTCTGCAACTAAGTTAGAGTATGATTTTAAGCAAGCTCTTTAATTTCCTAAGCCGATTCCCTTACCCATTAAATAGGGCTGACAAATGTACTATCTGCACTCCAGCTTTGCAGTAAGGATGAAAACCAAAATGAGATGTCTGTGAAAGTATCTGAATGTTTTCGAGTGCTCTACAAATTAAAGCACTATCATTACCATTTCAATGGCAGCGGGAGTGAACACTGCCTGCATGGCTAGCAACAAAATCAGATCTAAGAATGTTATTGTAAATGACAACACTCACAATCCCATCTTCTTGCTACAAAAAACACCCAGCTGGCACTGACTGTACATAGGTCCCAAAGAACACCCAGGGAGGAGTATGCATGGGAATTAACGTAAGTATGGGGTCTCTAGCATGCAAATGACTAAGTCCCACAGAAAGAAACTGGATGATTATCAACACCACTTTCCACAGCTAAAAGTGTTACACGCTGAAAGTTTAACAAAATATTGTCAAAGA